GTTGATTTTGGCAGAGATGGATGGAAAAAAACTGAGAAATCCGGTAAACTCAGATTCTGTCAAGAAGTACTATGCTTGAAAAAAAAGAGAATGAATGAAAAAATGAAAAAGTGAAAATGAAAAAATGAAAAAAATGAAAAAATGAAAAAATGAAAAAAAAGAAAAAAAAAAGGAAAAAAAGGAAAAAATGAAAAAAATGAAAAGAAAAAAGAAAAAGGAGGGTTCGAGATGAAAATCCACAAAGGACATCTTGAAACCAAAGAAAGGCTTTGAGTTGAAAACCTGAAAAGGCGGTTTAAAGGCATTTTGAGATTAGGCATCAGACAGTTAAACCCTCTCGACAGTTTGATATTTTGAGAGAAGCTTCACATCTACCGACATTCTGGAAACCCTTGAAGTCCTCCAGACAGAAGCTCAATTCAATGCTCTGAGTTATATCAAGTGGATTGGTTCAGGAATACTCGTGCTAGTGACTTATAGGGATATCTGACTTGTAGTACTAAATTTCCACTATTTATATGATTGCCATCACTTTGTAAAATCAATTCCTTGTCAGTAAATTCGAAGTTTGTTATTTCAAGCCCAATTCTATTCGTTCTGTACATACACATAAACATATTGTAAGTAGATTGACATAACATTAAAAAGAAAATAAAAGATTTCTTGGTATTACTTTGAACTAATATTTCCAGTACAGAGAGTCTAAAGTAAGTCATGACCCTAATATTCATGTATATAGTCAGAGAGTGTAGGGTAAAACATGGCCAAAGAAATGCATGTGAATTGAAATCTCGAAGAGTACATTGAAAACAATGTTATTTTGGTATGTGCTACGACTGGATTTTGTCAAGAAATTATCTACCTGACAGAGATGAGCAGTTCAAATGGAAGCAGAAAAGGATTTATATGGGAACGAGAGAAATGAGAACTTATATAAAGTAGCCCAAGTGAAATAAAAATGAAAATCAAATGATGCATTTGAATTGAAGATTTGCATGACAACAGAGCTCACCATATTAAAACGACATCATGCATACATCAGTAGGCATCTATAAATAGGAGCATACTCACCCATTCATGTTCATTGAAATGCTTTGACAGAAATGCAGGGATATTCAACAACAATCAAATCCACCACAGAAGGAGGTGACCCAACATTTCCAGAAGAGTTCATAATGAGAAGAACTCGTCCTAAAGGAGAAGGTTCGTAATGAGAAGAGCATGTTCCTTTCAAATCCACCGCAGAAGTAGGTGAACCAACATTTCCAGAAGAGTTCATAATGAGAAGAACTCGTCCTAAAGGAGAAGGTTCGTAATGAGAAGAGCCTGTTCCTTTCAAATCCACCGCAGAAGGAGGTGAACCAACATTTCCAGAAGAGTTCATAATTAGAAGAACTCGTCCTAAAGGAGAAGGTTCGTAATGAGAAGAGCCTGTTCCTTTCAAATCTACCGCAGAAGGAGGTGAACCAATATTTCCAGAAGAGTTCATAATGAGAAGAACTCGTCCTAAAGGAGAAGGTTCGTAATGAGAAGAGCATGTTCCTTTCAAATCCACCGAAGAAGGAGGTGAACCAACATTTCCAGAAGAGTTCATAATGAGAAGAACTCGTCCTAAAGGAGAAGGTTCGTAATGAGAAGAGCATGTTCCTTTCAAATCCACCGCAGAAGGAGGTGAACCAATATTTCCAGAAGAGTTCATAATGAGAAGAACTCGTCTTAAAGGAGAAGGTTCGTAATGAGAAGAGTATGTTCCTTTCAAATCCACCACAGAAGGAGGTGAACCAACATTTCCAGAAGAGTTCATAATGAGAAGAACTCGTCTTAAAGGAGAAGGTTCGTAATGAGAAGAGCTTGTTCCTTTCAAATTCACCCCAGAAGGAGGTGAATCGACATTTCCAGAAGAGTTCATAATGAGAAGAACTCATCCGATAAAAGAAGAAGAAGTTCATAATGAGAAGAACTTGTTCAACCTTAGCTCGATTCATCGCATATGGAGTTGAATCAGAAACACCTCACTCGAGGGATCAGCATTGCCAGTGGAGAGTTCATAATGAGAAGAACTCATCTGATGAGGGAGAAGAAGTTCATAATGAGAAGAACTTGTTCAACCTTGGTGATTTCATCATATAAGGAAGTGGATTGACATCCCCAGCGAAGAAGTTTATAATGAGAGGAACTTGTTCGACCTATTGCTCGATTCACAACACTTCGAATCAGCAATACCTCGCTTGAGGGATTAACATTTTCAATGGAGAGTTTGTAAGAAGAACTCATCTGATAAGTGAGAAGAAGTTCATAAGGAGAAGAACTTGTTTAACCTTAACTTGTTTTCATCACATATGGAGTTGGAACAGCACCAACATTTCGTTCATTACAGAATGAGGTGGATCAAACATTGCCATTTAAATCCATCGCATAAGGAGTTGGATCGACATCACTATTGGTGCAACTATCGTGGGAAGAGAAGAATTAACATTGGCAGTGAAGAGGTTGCAATGTGACAAGGTGAGACCAATATGAAAAATGGTGCTTTCATATCTTTGCTTCATCCCTGTTTCACAACAATGAGCAAAGAGGGGCAGCTGTAGCCACCATTTTTCATAACCCCTAAATCCTATAACCTCAAACCTCAAAAATTCAAACCCGACAGAACCTTCACCCTAATCCTAACCATAGAGATATCATGATTCAGCCGTCACCGCCGGTCCAAGCTCGCTCAACAAAACCCCGAAATATCGGGAGCATTAAAAGCACACCATCAACAACAACAGTAACACCACAGTGGAGCTAGGATTATTTTTATTTGTTTTCTAAACCTATGTAAATTGGTTATAAGAACCAAACCATGTAACAAGAGTAGGGGGCTCTCGGTTATTCACACCGAAAAATGAAAAAAAATATCAAAGCAATACAACTAGATTTTTCAGCAATCAAACGTGTGAAGGTATTCTTATGCTAATGTTTTTTTCTTGGTTCGTTCATAGTTTTGTGTTAAAAAAAACGTAAATAAAATAGATATAAAGGTTGAGATTTACCTTGTTGCTGGTATTAGTCGGAGTATGTTGTCATCGGAGAGGGAAGTGTGTCGTCGATTTTTGGTTAGGGTATAAGAACCACCGTTTATGGCTGTTGTTTATGGTTGGGTAGTGGTCGAATAGGTTGAGAGAAGAGGAAGAAAAGAGGAGATTTGGGTTTACAAATCCACGCAAAATGATTCTGGAAAAAGGGGGAGGTATTGATATTTAAGGTTTTTTGGGTAAACCATGCTTTAAGTCCTCCTTTTTAGTGTGTTTCACGTTTAGTTATTAGTTTTAGGGTTAATCATATCTCAGGTCCTCCTACTTTTAGCGTTGTTTGCGATTTAGTCATCATTTCCTTTTATTTTCTAAGTTTTACGAATTAGATGCTTGGTTTTGTATTATTTTAATTTAGTCCTTTGTTGTATGTATTTTTTTTGTATTCGAAATTTGGTACTGATCTTTATGTCATTTCATTTTAGTCCTCTATATTTATGTATTATTATGATTTTGGGTTTATATTATCACATTTTCATGTTTCATACCTTGATGCTTGTTTTATTTATATTTATGATTTCAAATTTGCTATGCATTTTTTGTCAATATATTATGAATGAATCCAAGTGTATATTATTTATTTGTACCATTAAAGCATGTTTTAGGTATTTATTTTACTTGTATTATTATACAACATTTTATGTACATAAGGTTGTACGTAGAGCATGGTATAAATGTTATTTTTATTATATTTTAGAATATATATCATGTTCTATGTTTAATATAATATTTAGAAAATATGTATATATTTATAAAGTAAAATAAAGTTAAAAAAATATTTAAAATGGTTCTTTTAATCCATGTGTTTTTTTTTTTTTTGTTAAGTGCTTCAATGTATCATATTCTATTTTATTTAAAAGCCTCATTAGCATAACTTAATCGATTATATAATTGGATTAAGGGTAGTATTTATGTATTTTAAAATATTAAGAAGGGACAGTCTTAAAACAACTAGATGTCATTTTCCGATATTTTAAAATAAATAAATATCCCACTAGAAAAACCTAAAAAAATTGATTGCATTTAAAATTAATTAATTTTGAAGGGAAAAGGAAATATTCATTATTTTAAATTTATCGAGACAATTTGCTAATTTTATTAGAGATTAAGTCTTGGTGTTTTTAAATTATCGAATATCCCTTATCTTTTCTAATAATATTCGGATTAATAAATTTAATTTCTTTCTTTGGTAGAATAATTTTGTTTTTATATGGAATCCTTAGGAAAAATTATTATATTATTTTTATTTCAGTTGGGAAGAGAAATATTCGCCCTAAAGTATTTTAGGGAGTATTTTCTCTTCAATTGGAAATAAGAGAATATTTTATATTTTTCCTTAGAATTTTTGTTCTATAATATTTGTATGGTTGAATTAGGAATAATGGAATCGTGTTCTAAATATATATTCGAATTCTTAGATTTCTACTATTTAGAGACAATATATAATCGATGGGTACCAATTTTGGGCGTTATGGGGTACTAATCCTTCCCCACACGTAATCGACCCCTGAACTTTTTTTTTTACTAAAAATGAATTTCTGGTTATACGTGGATCGATGCATCTTTTAAAATGATGTTTTTCTTAAAAAACTCTTTTAAAAAAAGATTTTTGGGTATTCGGCCTACCTAACCCAAAAGGTCGATGGCGACTCCGAAACATTTCTTTTACAAAATCGGGTTTTCACGAAATAAGTCGAGACACGTCATATCACCGGAAATCGGTTACGACACGTAACATATCTAAAACTAAAGGATTTCGCACACTATTATCCTATTTACAAAACACATACAAATTAATCCACTGACACACATATGTTTTGTTTTTCTAATATATATATAATATAAAGTAAAAAAACTAAACCTAATTTCTTTTGCTTTTTACTTTTCCAAGTAAAAAAACTAAACCTAATTTCATTTGCTTTTTACTTTTCCTTAAAAGTATCCTATGTGTTGTTATCTTCTCCTTCTCCATTCACTTTCTTTTTCATTCTCACGCACACACATGGCATCACTTTCATTTTCCTTTCGTTTTCTTTTCGTTTTCAAACGGAGAGTTGCCCAACTCTCTTTACGCCGGCCACCGTACCTAACAACTCCGGTAAGGACTCGAAACCTTCTCCTTTTAATTTTTTTTGTCGTTTTAATCTTTATGGTTTCATAGCACTAACCTGTTCCTATCTCCATCAATTAAACCCCGACCGACTAGGATGTAACCACTAAAACTACCTTCGTTCACAACTAAGGTAACTCTATAATCCTTCACAAATTTTAATTTTAAATAATAATAGTACTCATAAAAAAATTAGAAAACGAAGAAATTAACGAATAATACCTCGAAACAAAGATATGTAATTATCTTGTTTTTTTCTGATTTGCAATTATGGGATTACACTGTGTTTTTCTTAGAGGATGAAGACCCCCTATTTTACAATGAATTCCCCCCTCTGTGTAACCACCTCTAATTGACCCAAATCCGAATCTTGTGTATTTGGTGATGGCTTTCGATTGCTGCTTCTTCTTCTTTTCTTCCCCAGAGCCTTCGAATGGCCTCCCCCTTTATCTCGTGTTCCTCCATTTTTATCAATATTTTCTTCACCAAATACTTTGTCTGCATGTTGATTTTCTCTGCGTTTGGTGATATTTGGTTGAGCAAGTATTGACATTGATGCAATTTTCGGTGGCTAATTAATTTTTCCTTGATTCGGTGCATTGTTGACTTTGTGCAGATTAGCTCCAACAGTGGCGATGGCTTGAGATATTGGCGTGATTGGTTGCTGCTCATACACATGGATGGGAACACCTCTTGTGCTTAAACTATTTTATTTTTGGGCTGTTGGATTTTTATTGGGCTTGCATTGGGCTCCGGGAATTCTTTTGTTGTAGTGAGCTTGAACTTTAGGCCTACATAAATAATGTAATTTGTATTAATAATAATAATAATAATAATAATATATAATTAATATTTATAATATTTTTTAAACCCAGTCAAAAACGGGTGTCTACAGTTGGCATTGCCATCAATTCATGGAAGTGTCTTAGCATTGGTACTAAAGTGCCTTAGCACTGATACGAAAGTACATTTACACTGATACTAAAGTGCCTTAGCACTGCTGGTATATATATTCGGATATTTCACATATACATACTTTAGATGATAGTCACAAACACAAGTAGCTCAGGTGTCCTTATCGTTTCCCGAGCAACAAACAAAGGCATAAGTCTTATGGAATCTTACCTTATAAGGTTTTTATGATTATCACACATATAATATTATTATCTCCTTGTTATCTTGTCATTTTTATCATTTACAACACAAGTAGGTGAGAACGCTATCTCACTTACTAGTGTTTCAACCGTTCTCTCTCCTAGAATATTATGCAAAAGCTTGACAGTATTTTAGTGTCTTATGCCCTTGAGTCAATTCATAATCATTACTACCCACACACATACCTAAGGCCCAAATGTCACACAACACTGGCATCGCTAACCCTCTCATCACGAGTGTTCGGGTATCGTACTTTAGTTAGCTCTTAAAGTGCCTCGCGTATTGACAATGACCCATTAGGGCAACTAAGGTAGCTTGACTATACCCTAGCATAATTGGACTCACTAAAGTGAGGTTATCCTCCTGCTAGCTGTTATCTCGTTCGTTCTTTACATAAGGATGCTTTAGTTACTTTGACTCAAGAGAAGTCTCTACATGTTGATTCGATGACGATCACAGAATTAGTTGATCACTGGTTGTACTATTCATTAGCCCAATACTTGACTCAGGTTCAACTCTGAGTAGCGATGCTCTAGCCGCTCTTATCGTACTACCCTTCAATACCCCATGAACTAAAAAGGATGGTTTACCCTTCCTAGGTTCACTGACGTTCTCGAAGTTCACGCTTTCTGCTATTACTGAATCTAACTTATTCGTTGTACCACTTGTTGATATATCCTCAGCAAAGACCCTCATCCTCAATGGAAGATATTTCAATATCTTACGCTTAATATGGTTACATCTATTGTAACCTACTCCTACGAGTGTTTCTAGGTATACTTAGTCATTTATGTCTCTCACGGACTAAGTCTTACTATTACATATCGTACTTCCCTCTTATGGGCCTTAAATGGGTCAAATCAAACCATCCAAAGTGAGTAGTATCGATACTCTACTTGCAATATCAATACCATAGGGTCAAGTATCGATCCCCCTATGAATATCAATACCAAAAATGCATTATGTTGCGGAAAAGGGGCCTCAATATCGATATTGTCACCTTGAGTATTGATATTGTAGCGGCAGTATCGATACTCCCAGCCCAAATCCCTAATTTTTGCCATGATTCATCCAATATCGATATTGTTCATCCCAATATCGATACTCAAACCTTGAAATAGTTATATTAGGCTCGAAAAAACTCAAAATCCTCATAAAGGCCATAGTTTGATTCTAAATCATGTACTAATGTTATAGGTAGTTATTTAGGGTCTTAAGGTGTCATAAAACACATATTATACATCAAATTCATGATTTATGGTATGAATCAAATGTGAAACCCTAAATACTCTACTATACAAATCTTAATAATTTCTTGAAATTTATGAAAGCTTAATACTCCAAAGGATTAAAAATACACTACCTTGAAGTTTTAATCTCGAAATGAAACTCCTTGCCTAGCCACGCTAAACTCCCTTCCTTTGGTGATTTGGGTTAAGACCCCCATTTTTCTTTAGCTAGGATTAAACCAAGACTTTGATTCATTAAATTAAGGTTGTTGGATGAATTTAGAACGAAAAAGAAGTGTAAAATGATTCAAAGGTAGAATATATGTTTAGGGTTTTTCTAAGAAGAAGAAAAAAAGAATGAATGAAGAAATGGGGAGGAGAAAAATATGGGTGAAATAAAAGGCTCATCTTTGTAAAAATGGGAAAATCGTACAAATAGTCCTTCATTGTTTTTTCTACAATTTAAAATCACTTCTTATGGCTAATTGTCCCCCAATCCAAACCCAATTAAGCCTAACGACTTTACTTATAAATTCCACAAGGTCCACTTACCTCTTAGATAAACCCGAAACTACTAGCCCCTAATTTAAGGTGTTACATGTATACTTGACCCTTTAAATTATTATTTTATATATCATAGTTATTTATTTATTTTTCCTTTATTTCTCTTTCGTTTGAATTAATCGTTTTCCTTCTTATTTTAAAAAGAATAATATCAACCATGTTATATCTTCTTTATATGGGTTTGTAAATTTAAAAACGTTATGCTAATTTTTCATTTTAACAATGAATACTAAATTTCATTAATAAGAATAACATAAGGAATCAAAACTAAAATGCAAGCATAGAGAAAAAATAAGGATAATAGTCACATAAAAAAGTTTATACAAAATAAAATATTAAACCCAAACATATTAAAACAATAAAACCTTCCATTAAAAATGATGATTAAAATCAAAAGGATCCTATAATATTCATAAACGTTATGTTAATTTTAAAAGACAATATTTATGTTATAATAATATATATCATAACAAAATCAATTCTATGATAATTCATGACCATATAATAAATATTTTTATTATATTTATTTATTTATTATTATTATTGTCCTATTTTATAACAGTGTCACTATTATTAATTCAGAATGTATTTGATGTATTGTTGTTAAACACCACACAAAAATTGTTACAACTAAACTAGTAGATAACTATTAACTAATGTAGATCAGCATTGTTGAATCGATGGTCAGTAATAGGGGTGCACATATTTTTGATATCAACTATTATTTGATTCAAAATTTAAATTATTAAAGTTATGATTCATATTAGATTAAAAAAAATTGGATATTCGGATTTGAATATTAAATTTATTTTGACAAAAAATTTAGATTTAAATTTTATGTTTTGTGACTTTATGCACTTCTTCTTTTATATATATAATTATTATTCCTTAAAGTTCCGTGTTTGAGCATCAGGAATGTAGAGAATGACCGTTCAATGTCAAATGGTTGACAATTATCTTTAAACAGATATTGTCTTGTAATTTTCCCGGATTAATAAAAAAATTATTCATACAATAAATAATTAAATATCCTTTTTTTTATTGAGCTAGATAATTAGTAAGTTAGTGCCTTTTTCACTTTTGGGGTCAAATGCTATCTAAACTTTAAATGTCCAATTTCTTCGTATTTTCGGATAATTTGAAATTACAATCTAATAGATCCTTATTCAATCTGATTATTCATTTTTTTCTAGGATATCTGATTTGAACTATTCAAAAATTAAGAAATAAATTAGATATTTAAATTTTCAGATACAATTAACGGATTTTTTTCTCGGATATCTAATTTGAACTATTCAAAAATTAAGAAATAAATTAGATATTTAAATTTTCAGATGCAATGAACGGATGTGATGAATGGAATAAGAATTTTTTCCACAGCCTTAGTCAGTGACACTGATTCTATCTTGGAGTTTACATTAATGCTTCTACGTCATTTCTTGTTCATTGGATCAAAAAAGTGATGAAATTTGGATGGAAATTTTTGACAAATGACTTTTGCAATTGAAAGAAGAAAAAAATGGTTGTAAAATGGGTGTGAATTGCTGCAAGCAGACATCAAATTTGATGCAAAGATGAATTCAATAAACTAGTAATGATACGAGGAACGAGGAACAACGAAAGCTCAATTGTAGACCCGTATGTTTGATCTGATTGGGTTCAGCTGATAGTAGTCAAAACTGAACAGGTTTGTCCTGCCTTACAACACCTCCAACCGCTGAATTGCAACTCCGTCCCAAGCAGCCTGAAGTCGTCCCCATCTTCCTAGTCGGGGTTCCTGCAGCACCCAAGGTTTCTTAAGCATCAAGGCAACTAACGATGAATATATATATATTAATAACCATCATTCCAGCATCACAGTTGCTATATTCAATCATATCGAATGTGCTCCTTACATACGTGCAATACCATCTTAGAAACATCAATATATATATATATATATATATATATATATATATATATGTATATGTATGTATGTATGGACAAATACTTCACCTGCCCAACTCAGGCAACGAGGAACTGTCAAGATTTTACAAAAGCCATGGAATTAACAAATCCCACCTGCACCATGGAAAGGGTTTCAGTAATCAACAAAAATGAGAGGTGAAATAAGGATAAAGCTAGCGTTGCGCAAATCTCGATTTACTTTTAAAAAAAAAAATCGAATTTCGAGTCATTCCATAACCTTAAGATCATCTCTACTCTCCTCTTTCCATCCTTCCACTTTTTCACTCAACCGAGCACACCCTTAAAATTATCACTTACAAAGCAACTAATCAAGACATTGAAATAAAATTCTTCTATAACCTTAATATTTTTTAATTTGAAGTCAATCCTCAATGTTAAAAGCAATGAAGTACCAGTTCCTACAGATGTTGAGAAACTTTGAATTGACAAAAAAAAAATAGACATTTTTTTTTAGACATTATTCAATATATTTCTAATTTTCCATTAAAACTGTAATTATAAATAAAATAATCTAGTTTACAGGTTAGAATTCTAATTCCATGGAAGGACTATCTTTTAATGGATTTATTTGAT